ATATGGAAGACAACCAATCTATGTTTCTCTGTCAAATTAATATTTCTCTCTCTCTCTTCTCTCTCTCTCTCTCTCTCTCTCCCTCTCTCTCCCTCTCTCTCTCTCTCTCTGTCTCTCCCTTCCTTTCTCTAAAAATCACTAAACAACATATCCTCAAGGATGGATAGGGAAGAGGGAAGGAAGATAGATAGGGAGGGAGGGAGAGAAGAAGGAAGTTGGTGAGGTAAAAATAGAATTCATTCTCAAACCTGTATGATATTCAAGCTCTATCAAATTCCTGACCCTACATAATTTAGATCATGGTCAATTCATCATTTCTAAAGGGTAGATTACACAATCTCTAAGACTCTTTCTGACAATAATTCTGTGAGCAAAAACAGAAATCAGTTAAGAATGAACATAATATCTGTGATAGTATACTCCAGGTATAAGGAGAAGGCCATCAATAGACAAACTGAAGAGAAGAGGGGAACAACTAAGAAGAGCAGCAGGAGAAAGAGCAATAGGATCTTCCAAGGGGCCAAGGGGCTAGACATAGATACATTTATTAGCCATCAGGGCCACTGTGACAAGAGTGGGAAAGGGGAACCTAAAATACGAACTGAAATTAGAACTGTAAGGGATGTACATAAATAGAAATAGCTTAGCCCACTGATACTGCCTCACAACAGATGAGGAAAGAGATGTTAAGCGAGCTGCAGCAGTCAGTGGCCATGAGCTCAATGCTGGGGCAAGATGCAGCATTCTAACATAAACACTGGTTGCTAGTTAGATAGGAATAGTTGAGTATAGATGACTGGCCACTAGGTTTCTAGAAGAAGCATTTCCACAGCCACAACTGCCATGCATCTTGATCAATCTGAAATGTATAATACTATGGAGAGTGTTCTTTTAGGACAGAATGCAGAAGGAATCAGCACTTCTCTATTAAGTTCCTTAAGTTCATACCATGGTCCAGGCACTGTACATTTGCTTTCATGTGCTACCATACTTAACTCTCACAACAACATTGGTAGATGTGATGGTTAATTTTACACTTTAACTACACTGGGCCACTATGACCAGGTATTTAATCAAACATTATTGTGGAAGTTTCTGTAAAGGTGTTTTTTGGATAGGATTAGTATTTCCATCAGTGGACTTTGAGTAAAGCAGATTTACCCTCCATAATGTATGTGGGACTCATCCAATCAGATAAAAACCTAAATATCACAAGACTGACCTGTCCTAAGCAAAAAGAAATTTTACAAGCACATCGCCTTTGGACTCAAACTATAACTCTTCCCTTGTCTCTAACCTGTGTGCCTACCCTGCACATTTTAGACTTACCAAGCCTCCACAATCATATGAGCCAATTCCTTAAAATAAATTCATCTCTTTGTGGAAATACACACACACACACACACACACACACACACACACACTATTGGTTTTGTTTCTCTAGAGAGCTCTGGCTAATACCGTAGATATTACTCTCTGTTTCAGAAAAATGACAGCCTGAAGGAAGCCATTCCCTTCCGCACAGGGCTAGCATGGGAAGTAAAGAGTAGTATGAAACAGAGAAATGTTATAACCACAAGCCATACATCCCAAGGAGTCCTTTACAATACTAGGATTGCACGTGTACCCAGAGCCTTGTTATGCCCAAGTGAGGTATTGTCCTTTGTCTGGTTTCCTGATTCAGTTATTTTGGCTAAAAGAAATAAAATATTCCTACTAAATCAACATCTGAAGTCTTTGAAAGAATAGGAAAAGTAATTGGTAAAGATTTTGCTTAACTTGGTATGATCATTAATTCAAATGGAGACTGGAGCCATAAAATCAAGAGAAGGCTGAGACTTGAAAGGACACCAGCAATGGGAGAATTGGGAAAAATCTCCAAGTGCAAAGATGTGTCATTAAAGATGTAGGTTAAGATTATCCACACCTCATATTCCCTATTATGTGTACAGATGCCAAAATTTGGACAGTGAGGAAAATAAGCTGATAGGAAAAATTTGATTCATTTGAAATACAGTGTTGGAGGCGCTCTATGAATACCCTGAACTGCCAGAAAGACAAATACGTGGATCCTAGAGCAAATTAAGCCTAAAACACTGCTGGAGGCAAAAATGACAAAACTGAAGCTGTCCTACTTCCGCACATCACAAGAGGGCAGAGAAAAGACAATAAGCTAAGAAAAATAGAAGGCAGCAGGAACAGAGGAAGATCAATATGAGATAGATTGATTCCATAAATGAAGCCATGAGCTCAAGTCTTCAGGAGCTGAGCAGGGCTAGTGACAGCAGGACATTCTGAACATCACTCATTCAGAGTTTCCAGAATTCAGAGCCAACTCAACAGCCTATCACACATACACACGAATAGAAGTAAAAGATAAAAAAAGAAAATAAAAACTTATTTGTGTCACTTTGTTTTGTTTAGACTTTCTTTGGTTAGTCATTCATTCATTCCCTCAACAAATATTTATTTTGTGATTTATATTTTTTTATGTGCTCTTCTGGATACTAGAGAGTACTACCTACTGGGGCAGGAGGGTAGGGAAGGAACACATACAAAATACTCAGTGTGCAGAGTGAGAAACAGACCAACAAAAGTTGCCCTGAAGTAAAGGTTTCACAAAATAGGTGACATTGCAGCCGGGACAGAGGTTTAAATTTCACTAGTGGAGAAGTGGGATGGTATTCCAGACAGAATTTCTGACACAGTAAAATCCCACTGAGTATATGTTCTATGTTGCAAATATGTGTGTATTGGGGGGTACAGAGGTTTATGACAGGATATGAAACAGGAAAGGCCAACTGGGGTTGCTTATATGATGAGGAACAATACCAAGGAGTTTGACTTTTACCTTGCAAACAATCAGCGTTATGAAGGATTTTTAAGCAGGAACAGAACAGGATCATCATGGGCTAAGCCTTTTTACTGAAACCATTCATGAAGCTTATATGTGTATAAGGACAGTTGGGAAATAGCTTGGTCAGATATAACCACAGATAAAGAAAATTATTATAACACTTGATAAAAATTAAACATTGACTAAAAACTGAGCCTTGTAATAATGTTTATTATTAAATGGCATAAAAGCATTCCTTGTGCTCCACCTAAAAAAACAATAAAGTTGATTTTGCACATATATAGTTAGCCCCACTAAAAAGCTATCGTCCAGAAACTGTCACCTGCTATAACTATTATTATGCAGTAAATACACATGTGGATGTTTTTCTCAAAAAAATGAAATAAAATTCAATTGGAGTTGATGCAAATAAAATTATTGCTATGATAATAAAGATATATGGGGAATCTGTATCCTAAAATATGAACTAAATTTTATATATAGGCCAGAGGGAAAGAGGTGGCTGAGTAAAGCCAAACAGATTTTGTAAATCACCAAAATGGAAAAATAACTAACCTTAAATTAATTTCTAAAGAGTGAAGTGGTCAAGAAAGGAATCTACTATGTGGAAATATTAATTAGAAGGTAACAAATCTTTCAGTATTTTCTACCCTTTCATTCTCTTGTCCACTGGTGGTTCGTTTTCATCATTCCTAAAGGGATTTTAGAGATCCTCAATTCCAATAGTTCCCCTTCAACATTACTTTAGCAATGGAGTGCTGCAAATAGTCATGTACAAAAACAGATAAAAGCATAAAGCTCAGGCTGAAAGAGGTTGGGGAGAAAGGGAGAACTGGGGCACTTTAACTTGGCCTCCACTTGGGCCTTCACCCACTGTCTGTCTGAGATGTCTCCCCATAGAGTCCTTATCTTTCTTCAGTGAAGTGTGAAACAGTTTGGCCCTTCTTCAAGCCTCTAAATTTACAAATGAGGAAACTCTAGCCCAGAGAATTAATTTGATTTGCCTGAGAAAAAGACCCCTCTTTTCTGGCACCTGTGCTAAAATTAAAATGCTTTCTCTTCCTCATATGAGAAAAAACATTTCTTATGTATTATTCTACAAGTTTATGCCATCCCTCTAGCCCAAATTCCTACTCAAAACTTACAGAGGTAATCATGAATTTAATAAGTGCCTACCAGAGGACAGATATGCTGCTAGAGACATGTATGTCATCTGCTCTCATTCAACCATTACCAAATACCCAGATCAAGAAACTGGGTTCAGAAAAGGAAGTACTTGTAACTTTCCCAAACTCACATAATTATGAGTGGAAGCCTAGTCTATTGAACTCCAAAAGCCAAACTTCAGATTCTTGCATTCTTTCTAATCCCAAACATCTCCCAAATCTTGCCTATCTTTACACAGGCACCCAGAAATACAGAGCTGTAAGGGACCCTGTCATTTCCCACAGGGTGTATATTTCCATCCAGGCTTGTTGGAGAATAATAACTCGTGCTGCAGCCAAGCACAAAGTCATCAGGCCTCCCTTAAATTTCAAAACCCAAGCTTCAGAATCAGACATGCTAACCCTCATCCCCACTTCATTCCCAAAGCTTGACATGTCAACTTTCATATATGTAGCAGGGGCTACATATATGTTCAGTCTTACAGAGATAAGCAAGGTTAAACACTCTTAATAAAAGGGCTACAAAAGCAACTTTGAGCTGAGCATGAGATGACAAGGTAGCGTTTGAAGATGAATATTAAATATCATCTAATAATAGCGGAAATTCGTATTTGAGGGCAGCTTTAAGACAAAGGATGACTTACCGCAGAGTAGAGGCCAGAGTTGGCATTAAATAAGTTGGATTTGGGGGAAGGTCAAGGGAATTTGAATTAGAGCATCCTCTGAGAACAGAAGGAAGTGATTGTGGTGGTCAATTACAGAAAAGTGTGTAGCCAGGATTGACAGTAAATTATTGGCAATGGGACAAGAGATTGTAAGACTTAGGGCCACCCTCTGGAAGATGTGATCCAAAGATCGGACAAGTCCTAGGCATTAGGACTGAAATTCTGGGTGGGCTCCAGTGCTTAGGGTCCTGTGGGTTGGGCGGGAAACTACGAAACCCCAATCTCTTCCTCCCAACCCCGACCCTGCCTTACCTTCTGTTCAATGTAGTGAATGGAGTAGTTCCCGACTGCGACGGGATGGGATGTGAGGCTGGTTGACAAGTGCAGGTTGCTGAGAGCCCTTAGGGCTGGAGGTACGGGGACGGCAAACCCCGGCATCAGGAAAGCCAGGAGCAGAAGCAGGAGGGCAGGCCACCCCATTGCTCAGGCTGGAGGCTGCAGTGCGGATGAGAGGAAGACCGGCAGATGAGCGCAGCCGGAGCCGCACGCAGCCCGCAGCTCCGCCCGCCTCAAACAGGCTCCTCCCGCGGGAAATCTGAAGTCACCCTCCACCTCAACAACCCAGGTCACCCAAGACACACCGCTCCCACCCCAGTCCCGGAGGACGCCGCCACATTTCATTTCCCTCTCGTACTGTCCTTACTTAAGAATCCACCTTCATTTCGGCCACACTCCAAATCTGCCCTTATCATCCTTGGGCCCCATACTACCTGACCGCAGAGTCACATCTTTAACTATATCTCCCCCTTTCTGCCTGGTTACCCTATATTCACGCCTTTATCCTCACCCCCAAACTCTACCCTGTCGTACTCCCATTGCCACACCTCTTGCCCTCCACAAAACCCATATAATGGTAATAATAATAGCTACCGTGATCGTCCACTACATGTTACTGTATCACTGGGCCTAATAGCACACACAGCATCTCCTCTAACTCAACCATCACGGAAATCTTGTGTCTGTGTATGACTGTTACTCCCATTTACAGAAGAGTAAACTCAAATTCTGACAGGTGCGGGGCTTAAACTGGGTCACTCAGACTGGGTAAGTGGAGCCCAGCCTCTCAGACTGCTCCGTCTGGCTCCTCGACTGCACCTCTATCATGTAAGTCTAACCTCCGGTGATACTCTGAGAGGGTCAACCCAAACTTCCGGGTTGCCCACACAACCGATCACTAATGGACGTCTCCCGCGGCCCACGTAACCCCCGAATCTCGCTTAGTCCTGTTTCCTTTTTCCGATTACGCTCCCCTCCGTTTTCCACGCAGCCCGCATCAGGCTCCGTCTTTCTCCTTATTCCCGAAGCCACCCCTTTGGTTTCCCCCAACCGCGGGCCACGCCATCCCCTCGAGCAGAGCCCTCCTTCCTTCTTCACGGCTCCGCCAATTCCCTTCAGCCAGTTTTCATCTTCCTTCCAGTCGCCCCGTTCAACTTCAGTCAAAACGGCGCTCCCACCCCTTCCCGGGAATCCCTGCGCCCAGCAAGGTCCCCGCGACTCCAAATGCAACTACTATACTGCTCCACCTCTAGGGAAGAACTTCCGTTAACCCTGCCTTTACAGCCAGTTTGATGGAAATGGATGTTTTCAGCGATCGTGGGACAGTTCGGTTAGTCTCCACCCTCGGCGACGCCTTCTTGGGAGTGGCTCTAAGGATACGTGCCCTAATCGTCACTTCTAGCGGAAGAGGAAGCGGGAGATTCGAGTGGAGGGCGCTTGGCCGGTACTCGGCAGACTCCTTCCAGAGTTATTGAATGTGACGGCGCAGGTACCTTGTCCTCCTCCTCCGGTGAGTAGCTGTGGGAGCGGGTTCTCGGGGAAAGCGAAGGCGGGAGACTCCTAACGAACACCTTAACGTCATAATGAATGAGACTCGGAGCATCTTTGATATTTTTTACTGGAGTTAGCCCTTCAATGCGAGGGCGGTCTTGAGTGAGAGCTGAGAGTGAATAACACAAGCATTTTAATTTTAGACAGTGCTGGCTGTTATCGCTCATCCAGTGCTTATTGAGCATTTACTGTGTTGCCGAACTGCACACAGATGAGCTTCAGAAACTGGAAATGCAGGAAAGGAAATGGTAATACTCCAGCTTTTCAGGTGCTCAGAGATAAATTTTCAGCTAGCTGCTATGCGACAGTAATGTGTACTGAAAATGGGTCTTTTCCAAACTACTGTGATGGCCCGGAGGGAAAAGTGAGTAACAGTGACGTGCTCAATCCAGAAACATGGAAGATTGCTAAATTCCTTATCACTTGCCTCTAGCTAGTCACGTGACCGCTATATAGCTATGGCAATAGCTCGCTGCTGGTTTTCCTTCTTTCAGTCTTGTTACCTTCCGAGCCAGTCTCCACGCTGCCAGGCTCAAATCTGATCAGCACTCCGGATTTAAAACCTTTGAGTCACTGCTATTTTCCCTCAGATTTAAGCCTAAACTTCTTAGCATGGTTTACAGGGCCCTTGCTGTCCGGCGTTTGCCTATCTCTCCAGCTTTGTCTTTCACCCTCCAGACCAGGGGTGTCAAATTCATTTTCACGCGGAGCCACATCAGCCTCGCAGTTGCCTTCAAAGGGCTGAAATAATTTTAGGACTGTATAAATGTAACTACTCCTTAACTGTTAAGGCATGGAAATTACATTCGGCCCTTTGAAGGCAACCAAGAGGTTATGTGGCCCCGGTGAATGAGTTTGGCACTCCTGCTCTAGACCTAGGTTCCATCCAAACAATGTCTTTTTGAGTTTCTCAAATGCACCATCCTCCCTCACCTCAAGTTATACATTCTGCAGATAATTTTTAAGTGCTTCTCTCCTCTGTGCCAAGAACTTCAACACAAGCTGTGAAAGAATTCACAAAGAGAAGAAAATGCAGAGAGTAAGGTTTTTATTTTATTTTCCCAAGAGAGGTAAAGAGCTAGGTGGGGATATATGCACCAGCACTGAGGGGTAGGGGCTTTGAGCTTTTATTAGATTTGATTTGGATTATAAAAGTGGGGTGGGTTGCTGTTTTGTGGCCCCAGGGATGTTGGGGGCCTTGTAACACTGGAGGTATATGGTGATTTTGCATAAGCTGCAGTTTGCTCCACTGTTATCCTTTGCCTGCAGCTGTCGGGGGCAGATATCAGGTTCTGCTCCCACTTTCCAGTAATTACTAGTCTTGAGGACATAAACTCAGAAGAGTAAAATGGCAGTATGTTTAACAAGGTCATAGGCCTGCTCAGCAAATGGCTCTGACTTGATCCTTTCACTAGGTACTGGGATTATAATAGTCAACAAGATAGATTCCTGTCCTAATAGAGTTTAAACCTTTTATGGATGTGCTCATATGAGGAATAAAGGAAACAATTTGAAATTTGAAATTCAGTTGGTCTGGAAGGCCTATCTGAGAAGTTGACACTTACACTGAGTTTTAAGAGATTAGAATGATCCAGCCATTCAACAGAGGAAAGGAAGAACCTTACAGGATGAATGGGTTGTGCAAAGGCCCCAAGGCAACTTCATGGTCAAGAACCTAAAAAAAGACCAGTGTTTCTGGAGTATATTCAGAAAATACAGTTGTGTGAGATGTATCTGGAGAGATTGGAAGGGACTAGACACTTAATTAGGAGGCTAATACAGCAACATAAGTAGGAGATAATGATGATTTGCATTAAGGTGGTGCCAGAATGTTGGGGTCCTGCAGGTGAATGATGGTTTTTAGTTATGAAAATAGACTCCAGCATTTACCTATGGGTATAATGTGGGGCTTGAAGAAAACAGAGGAATGAAGGGTGATTCCTAGATATCTGGCATGAGTTACTGATGGAGAGTAGTACCATTTACTGAAATGGGGAAAAATACAAGTAAAGAGGTTAAGAGGAAACTGAAAATCAAGGTTTTTACTTATTAAGCCTTGAGATTTTTATGATTCATCCAAATAGAGTTGGCTTTCAGGTAAGTAGTTGAGGTATGGAAGTCTGGAACTTGCACCTTTGCCTTAGCCAGTAGATTTTAAATTCCTTGAATACATGAACTTTTTTTTTTCTGTCTGTAAGCCTAGCCTCTTCTGCATCCCTAGAATAGTACCTTACCTATGATAAATACAGTGGACAAACTATGCTATACCACTAAGATTTTCCTGGGTAATTTTTCAAAAATATTTTTCACCAATAATTCCCCAGACAAAAGAGGGTTTTGTTTGTTTGTTTGTAAGATTTTACTTATTTATTTAGAGAGAAGGGAAGGGAGGGAGAAAGAGATAGATAAAAACACCATTCATTGTGTGGTTGCCTCTTGCACGTCCCCCACTGGGGACCTGGCCTGCAACCCAGGCATGTGCCCTGACTGGGAATTGAACCGGTGGCCTCTTCGTTCACAGCCCAAGCTCAATCCACTGAGCTACACCAGCCAGGGCTCAAAAAAGATGTTTTGTCTCTTTATTTTTTGGTTATTTAATTTTCTACCTCCTGCCTACCTCTCTCTTTCCTTTCTAGGATTTTCATATAAGGTTAGTAAATCATTCCACAGGGACTTCTTTTGACTGTCTTTAGAGAAATTAGACAAAGTATGTGCCCTTGAAGGAGACCGTTACATAACACTAGTTCCTATTGGTATTCCATAGGTTAGGTGTTTATTCTATAAAACACTTTTATGTAATTTCTCTCCTCTGATCATCTTTGAAAATAGTTATATGTCATTATTTGTGACATTATCAGACCCACTACTCTCCCATGGCTGATGTGACACAACTCCCAACTGTTTCAGGAAAGGACCTACTTCTACACTCACAAGACCAGAGCTGATGTGACCAGACTTCCTGCTATCTCAGGGAAAGGTCCCTCCCATCACTCAAAAGAGCCAGAGGTGATAGGATCCCCAAATCTCAGGGACAGAACTTTCCTCATACTCACTGGACACCCTACAGTTTCAGAGTGAGGCCTCTTGCAACACTCACAGGACCAAGAGCTGTAGTGACTGGACACTCCGCTCTCATGTATGACCCTCTTTACACTCACAGGACTCAGGGCTAATGTCAAAGGACACCCCATATTCTCTCAAATAAGTTCACACCCCACACTAAATAAATGCAGAGATGATGTGTAAGGATCTCCAACTCTTTCTTGAGGGAACTCACCCCACACTCAGAGGACTCAGATAACATGACAGGACCTCCAACTCTCTCAGGTGGGACCCCTCTCAACAGGCAGAATCCAGAACTGTTGTGGCTGGGACCCTCTACACTCTCAGAGTGGAAGACTGCCACACAGCTACACACTGCCAGGAAATGTTCTTCTCTGCTGCCATCTAGTGTACTTTTTGGGAGTAGCACCTATTTACTACGCATCTGCTGCTAATCATTTTGCGAGGACACTTTGAAGGTGCCTTACATCACCGCTAGCTCAGAATGTCTTTCTTTTTCATTTAAATTTTTTTATTATTATGTTATTACAGTCATCCCCACTTTTCCCCTTTGCCCCCTTCCTCCCAGCTTCCTCCTCCTACAGTCAATCCCCACACCTTTGTTCATGTCTGTGGGTGATGCATATATGTTCTTTGTCTAGTCCTTTCACCTTCTTTCAACTAGTCCCAACATCCCCCCCTCCCCTCTTACAGCTACAAGTCTGTTCCTTGTTTCTCTGCCTCTGATTCTACTGAGTTGGCCAAAAAGTTGGTTTAGCTTTCTCTGTTTAATGGCTGTAGTTGTCTTCAGTTGTCTCAGTTGTCTTCAACTTCACTCAACAATTTTGTTAGATTGTATTATGACAGCTCTCATATCAGCGTGTGTGGTTTTTTTTAAGTTACCAATATTGGTGAATGTTTTTGTGTAGCCATTTTAATACTGAAGGTGAAAAAAGATGCAAAATATTTGGGGCATATTATGCTTTATTATTTGAAGAAAAGTAAAAATGCAACTGAAGTGCAAAAATATATATTTGTGTAGTATATGGAGAAGGTTCTGTGCCTAATCAAATGTGTCAAAAGTGTTTTGCGAAGTTTCTTGGTACTATTGACATTCTGGCCAAATAATTCTTTGCTGTGCGGCTGTCTTATACATTGGAAGATGTTTAGCAGCACCCCAGCCTCTACCCAGTAGAATCCATTGGGAGGTAGTCAATGTATTCAAAATATCCAAATCAATGAAGTTGTTGGTGAAAATGAAAAATGTCTCTTATTTTACAGGAAAAACTAAACAGACTTTTTTGACCAACCCAATTTTTTGCTCATTAGTTTATTTTTTTTCCTTAGATTCCATTTACAAGTGAGATTATATGGTATTTGTCTTTTATCACCTGGCTTATTTCACTTGTCATAATAGTCACCAGTTCATCCATGCTGTTGCAAAAGGTAAGAATTCCTTCCTTTTTACTGCTGCGTAGTATTCCATTATATAAATGTACCATAGCTTTTTTATCCACTCATCTACTGATGGGCACTAAGGCTGTTCCCAAATCTTGGCTATTGTAAATAATGCTGATATGCACATAGAAGTACATACATTCTTTTGAATTGGTGTTTTGGGATTCTTTGGATATATTCCCA